CAAAGAGCACACATGCAGTTCTGTCTTCTTATTTCATATTATAATTTTCCTACGTTGATTTCATTGTCAACTTGGCACACACAGTCTAGAGTCATCTGAGAGAAAAGCCTAGACTGGGGAATTGTCTATCTCAGACTGACACCTGGGTGCATCTCTCTTAATTATTAATTGATAGAGGAAAGACCAGCCCATTGAAGATGACACCATCCATAGGAAGGTGGTCCTGGACCTTACAAGAAAGCTAACTAAGCCTAAGGAGAAAGCAGCATCTTTTTGTGATTTCTGTTTCTAGCTCCTACCTTGAGTTCCTGCTCCAACCTGCCCTCCTTTAGTGATGGACTTTCCCTCCCCTAAGCTGACTTTCATTACAGTAAGTCTTTTACTACAGCAACAGAAAGAAAGCCAGAACAGTAATTTTTATTTTAGTGTTCAGAGTTCATAGTTAGCCCACATCTTTTTGTGATTATTCCCGAAAAGAATGTAAGATCACAAGTGTTACAAAAAAGGATCTCCTCCAGGTGTCCACTGTCTTTAGTCCTCCATTGCTGCAGACATTTTAGAATCGAACAGCTGTGTGCCTTAGCCTTTAGGATATCTAGAGAGAACAGGACAGATGGACAGACACTACAAGAATACATCCACAGAAGGTTACCACTGTGTTTCCAAAGTGCAGCAAGAGAGGACTAGAAAATATCCAAAACAGCACAGCAGGGTGAGAAGGGATTTCTAATCTGCACAGGGGCATCTGGACGTGGAAATAAACAGAAATGGGTGATTTGTGAAAGTAAAGATGATACATTAAGTGGCATTCCTGATAGAGGGATTCCCCCAGACAGGTTCAGAGGAGGAAATGATGGATATGGATGAGGGAGAAGATAGTGGGAAGTGTCACCACTGACTCACTGGGGGAACATTTATCAAATGTGCTTGCCTGGGCCCTGCTTGGGAGCATTGAAGTGAACTCATTAGGTCGCTCAATAACAGTTATGTTCTTACTTTCACCTCCCAGAGTGATTTTAATTTCAGCTTTGAAAACCACTTCACAGTGGAAGAAAATAAGACCTGAGTGTTTGAGACGAAGATGTTAAAAACATTACTTCTCACATTGAAGAATCTAAAGTCTGGCCTGGAGAGCTGACTCAGCCGTGAAGAGTACTTGGCACTGATGGAGAGGGCCCAAGTTGTTTTCTCAGCATCCGCAGCACCCATGTCAGACAACTCACACTCCCTGGAACTCCAGCTCCAGGGATGCAACACTCTCTTTTGACCTCTGAAGAGACCACACATACACGATAATGGGGTTAGGAGAGAAATATACAGATAGATAGATAGATAGATAGATAGATAGATAGATAGATAGATAGATAGATAGATAGATGTACATACATACATATAAAAGAGTCATATATTATACATGAGTCTATAATATAGCAGCCAGTAGAAACTTATTTGCTTCATATTTTCAATATATTTATTTGCTTTGGAGAAAAAATCACAGAGATCATTTGATTTTATTGTTCTTATTACATGTTTTGTAAATACTATTATTTGTATCTATGCCTGTGATACTTACTGCTATTATTTCTGGGTCATCTGTTCTAGAAGACAATTTCCAGATGATAGGAAACTAAAGTGAGAACAACAGGAAATACATAAAACGTTCAGGAATCAAGTCACATAAGTATTGAGATATTACTGGCAATTCATAACCATTTCTAGAAAATTAATGTAAGATTTTCTTTTCAAGAAAAAAAGTCCTACAATCCATGAGGCAGAAACATAGCCTCAAACAGAAGTCTTTTATTTTAATTAGATGGCAAGTTTCATTGGCTGGATCTCAAGGCCTGTATTTTTATACAGCTAGTTTGCCAAATAAAATACAGCACACTTAAGCATATTTGAATTTCAAACAAAAATGAGTCATTTTTTGTTTAAGTTTGTGAAATTAAACATAGTTTGAAAAGTGACTTGTTTATCTGAAATTCAAATTTAACTGCTGTGTTTTATAATCATTTGTTAAGTCTTAAAACTTCAACCTTGTAACTTGCTGAGCCAAGAAATACTCAGCACTGAATGAGGGAAATTGCAAATGACTAGGTTTCAAGGTATACTGTCCTCTCCCCAGCCAAAGTGTACCAAACCTAAATGCTAATTCCTGGTAGACCTGTGTGTGCTGGTGCACAAAGCTGAAGTTCCTACTCTGCCACTCATTTTGAGGCTGTTCCTTTTTGAAGGTACCTTTCAGAATCATGACCTCTCCTGTTCAGGGGATCCCTTATGGGGCAGCAGTCACGGCACTTGGAGCTTATTAGAAATGCAGGCTCCTAGGCCTCCCAGACCTGCAAACAGGCTCCCTTGAGGTTGCTAGGCGCATACTGAGATATGCAGATTTAAATACAAAGCTTGCAAACATGATTAAAGAAATAAATCATAAAATATTTTTAATTAGGAAGCAAAGAAGGAGGGAGGGAGGGAGGAAACAACCACCAACAATCCTAGTCTTTTCATAAAGAAGAAAAGTTAACTAAAACTTTGCAACCTATGAAGAATACTGGTGTGTTAATAATATTGCACTTTAAGAGTTATATGAAAGTAAAATCATGTCCAGAGCTCTTGACTGAGATAAGTGTAAACTATCAAATTTTAAGAAATAATTTCAAGCAGTGGGCAAAATTAACTTTTAAGTAGATAGATTTCGTGTTAATCTCAGCTGCTCTTTTCTAGTTTTGCAGTTTGTAGATAATGCAAATGATCACTTCATGTAAGTCATCAAATATAGTTAGGAGAGTTTACTGTTATGAGTGCCACCATCCAGATGCTTGTCACCTCTACATCTTTTTAATGTAGAGTCCCTGAGCATAACACCTGTAAGTGCGAGGTGTGGGAATTAGTGTAGAACTGCCCTTGCCAGCTGGACCCATTATGTTTCTTTCTGTTGTAGAAAATAGATATGAAGCAAGGAATACAGGAATGCTGCTTGTTTGGGGAAGCCATTGCTTTAGAGAAGTCCATTTCTGAAGTCATGGAAGCGAAATACAGGCCCCAAGGCATGTAGTATTTTCCCTAAAATAGGTAGGAACTATGAGTTAGTTTCAGTACCCACCTCCAAAGAGAGTCACATGTGTCCATCAAAGATGATCTCCAGCCCACTACAGCACTTTTTTCTGCTGTGTGCTACTAGGCATAGTAGTGTTAATGTTTTCTTCTGGTAGCAAGGATTATTCAGAGTCACAACCTCATGAGATTGAATCAACTAATAAGCATCACACTTTTTGACCACATGGTGCTATGGTGGCAATGCATAGTACTTTTAATAGGCAGAATGTAATTACCTCAGTCGGTGCTTTTCCAGAACATAAAGCTAATATTCATTCCTGTTTGATGTGAAATACTTCATCCTCAGCCATTAATCATATATGGTGGCATGTCATTAGCAAATCTAGCAAGATACCAAGTGCTACTATATGTACACTGATATTTAACCCTTTTCACATTAAAAGTCTTTACATAGAAATAAAATTCCCTCAATATTTATTGCCTTATTTACGCCAAAATCACAGGCACTTTGATAAATGGAGTAATCATTTCTAGTGTCACTGTGGCTATGAAATGCATTTTAGTGTCTTCTGTGACTGTAACTTAATAATTCATTTCAGCACATCTATTTAGAAATCACAGTGGGTTTACTTGATAGACAGAGCGCTGGAGAGAAAGGCTCCTCTTGTCAATACAGATAGCTCGTGTTTTAGAATTAGTGTCTATCATGCAATATTAACTTCATAGGCTTAGGTTTCTTTACAACCTTTGATGATGGGTCCCATCTTTAAGATTTGACATCTTTAATGTTTGACCATGAAAGTCATAAATAGATGTGTTTAGTTTGATAAACAATTTCTTAAGACTGAATGGTATTTCCTCTATCTTATTTGCTAGGAAATCTAACAGCTAATTGAAACCACACTCAAAGGAATGGTTAGAGAATTTTATGGACTTGTTTTTTTTTTAGCAAATTGATGCCAAAGAAAGTGATATTGGTATTGACTTCTAGAAAAGAGAATCATACATCAGAGTTACATGTGTAAGTTCACACCTTTAATCCCAGCACTTGGAAGAAAGAAGTAGCCATTTCATAACTTTCAGGCTAGCCTGGGCTACATAGAAAAATTCTGTCTCACACACACACAAAAAAACTGTAGAAGTTTTTTTTTAAAAAATGAATCTTAAGGGGTGGAGAGATGACTCGTCTATTAAGAGAACTTACTCTTTTTTTTTTTTAGAGAAATCAGGTTTGATTCCCAGAACCCACATCAGGGGATTCATAAAACTACCTATAACCCATTTCCAGGAGATTAGCTGCACTCTTCTGGCCTCTGTGGGCACCTGCATCTGTGCAGTACACATAAGCTCATGGGCACATACATACATTAAGAAATCTAAATAAATAAATAAATAAATATTAAAATTATTGTTTATCTTGTTGTATGTGGTCATTTTCAGACATAAATGATCATAAGGCAAGTATTAAACTTTGCCTTTGAGAAACTTGGGAGAGGTGTGGCCAGTAGACTGCCACTTCCTGCACATTGGTAGAGTCAGAATGGAGACTCACGTACAGGGCTCTGGGACCTTACAGAGGGGGACATATTAATTCCAGTGTGGGTTGTTGTAAGAGATCACTTAATGTGATGCCTTGAGAAGATAACCTAGAACAGCTGGAATATATATTTTGAGAGAGACAGATGCTCATGTATCACCTGCTGGCCTTGAACTTCCCATCCTTCTGTTTTCACCTCCCTAGAGCTTGGATTACAGGAACGTGCCACCTATACTTGATGTGTGTGATCCTGGGAATTGAAACTAGGATGTCTATCGTGGCAAGCACTCTATAAGCTAAGCAGCATCCATAGCCTGGTAAATATATAAATATATATTTCCTGAGGATAAAAGCTCACTGTGATGCTCTTTTTTTTTTTTTTTTTTTTTGCATTTTCCTGTTTTAGAGACGCCCAAGCAGATGGCCAGCAATGAAGTTTCGAAGAGGATCGGGACACCCTGCCTATGCGGAAGTTGAGCCCGTTGGAGAGAAAGAAGGTTTTATTGTGTCAGAGCAGTGCTAAAGTTTTAGGACAGAGCAGCACCAGTACTGGCTTACAGGTGTTACGACTAAACTTTGCTTATACCTTTAAAACAGACACACACCACAGCCACACACAAAGGAGCCCTAAACTGCTGTAGCCAGAAGGGAGACAAGATTTCTGGACGAGCCCAACCCAGAAACATTGAAAGGAAAACTCAAACTTGTACAAGACACCATGTACACTGACTGTAACATTCCCTACTGGAATGACATCCATGGTTCACGAAGAACATCTCCTGTGGACTTGCCAGAAGTGTGACAAGATGACAATGTTTTTGGTTTAGGTGCAGGGTTGCAAAGGGATCAAGGAAAAATAATGATAATAAATAAAGCTTTAGTTCACAAGGGATTTACTCCTTTGGTTCCAATGTTCTCTGATGTCTCAAAGATAACCATGTTTCAGAGTCTGAATATTTTCACTGGAAAGAGTGATGATGAATGCTTCAAGATTTGCTGGAAACAATGGCTCACATGAGAGCAAAACCAAATAGAAACAGAGGTTTCTCTATCTTTTCCAAACAGACTTTCGGCAAAAGAATTAGTTTTTGCTCTAAACCCAGACGCTGCACCAGGTTCATTACTCCTCAGGATGAACCTTTCATCTGTTTGGAAGTTCACTATGCCTGCCTCTTGCTGGGTAATGAGCAGCCTTTCTGTTGGCTGTGACACGACTTCCCAATGCTAAGCTGAGGACTAGAGAGGAGGGCATAGCCGGTGAGGGTTTCCATTCTCTCACTTCAGAATAAAATGAGTTATGATGTCAGGGGTGCTGCCTCCTCTCCCTCCTGGACTCCTGAGAAGCCTCATTTAATCTTGGCTAATGGAAACAAACAGAAATAACAGGAAGAATTAGGTGGTCATTTTTTGAGACAAATATCTTAAGGGATTTGAACACTGTTATTTTGAAAGTTCACCATGTCTGTATGACAAACCTGTTTCGTTGTCAATTCCTGTCTAAGAAATCATTCAAGTCAACGTATTTCTGGTGATAGGGGAAAAAAAAAGAATGAAATAACCCTGCTGAATCACACAGTAATTTTCTTTAAAGCACATAGTAGTTACATAAATATATATATATAAATATATTTTTGTTTATAACTAACACAAGGCAGGCTCTTGTGGCTCTAAAGAGTGTATTTTGTCATCAAGACAAAGCAAATGCAAGATGAATCACGGCATTCCTCCCACAACACTGTAAAATAATCCTTAATATTAGCATATTTTTATGTCACTTCCAAAAGTGGTTCATTTAGTTGCAGCATGCTTCGTTTTGCCACCTATTGGATCCACTTTTTCATTCATTCCAACCTCCTCTCTTCTTGATTCAAAGAAGCAGTTGTAAATGTCCCTTGAGTGGAGTTCTCATTGATACTCTGATTGCAATCCAAACTTTGAAAAATTCCCCAAAGAGAAGAAAGAAAATGTACCAATCAAAAAGGAAAGTTGTTAATGTAAACAATATCTCTAAACCTGAGGTTCTGTGGTGTAGAATTCTGCCAACCACTATACCTGTAAACCTTTGGCATTCTGTACCAAAAAAAAAAAAAAAAAACATAGTTCTTACAAGGTACATCATTTAACATTTGCGGATTTTTGCAGATTCAAGTTACACAAAGCAAAGGTTCCCAGTAGTAGCACTTCACTGACAGTTTACAATCTATGTACGATGTCTACACTGGACAGCATCCATCCCCTAACAGAGTGTCACATTATTTTCCCCAGTGTCTGGCATAAGTGAGGCCTCTTTTCTCTCAATGTATTTTGTTTTACACCTTGAAGTATTTGAAGACAGTAACATTTCCCTAACCTCAGATAAAACTATCAGAAAACAAAGGTAGACGAGCAGCATGATTGTAGGATGTGATGACAATCTGTGCCCCAGGTATGCTCAAGCAATAAGAAATATCTCAGCTTATTCTTGTTGGTGTAATTTTGGTGAGAGAGCAGTATCCAAATGACTTGCCAATGTAACTGGTGCAACTGGTATTTTACAGATACATAAGGCATACATAGACGACTTTCCTTTTAGGATAAGATGATGCTTTCACAAGCTTTGACAATAAGCCTGGCTTCCAACAGCAATGGATTGGCAGCCACATAAATCTTTTGCATCTGCATCTCACTCAACGTAGTTCCTACAAGTAGTAATGTTATCTTTATACCCGTCAAAGCTCATCTTCCATTTTTAATTAAAACCATTGATAATTCTTTTAAATGACTACATAAGACCCTCTGACTTACTCAGTGTATCAAAGAACCAAGTAACCGAGAAATTGGAAGCAAGAAGGTTTCTAAGTTATGTGGAAACTTTCTAAGATAGCTGAGAGAGAGAGAGAGAGAGAGAGAGAGAGAGAGAGAGAGAGAGAGAGAGAATAAGGAGTACTGCATTGTATGAATCCACAAAAATTCTGGTAGAATCTCTTTGCTCTATGAAACTTTAATTCTGTTTGTACTTCTGGTCTGTTCTTGAATTCTGTTTACTTCAGAGGAAGGGCACATAGAGGTTCTAGAAATTTCAAAAAGGAGTCCAGTATTGTGGCCTATATATGGATTATGTATTACAAAGGATAGGCACAAGTACCTTAGTCAATATTCTGTGAGCATGAAGAAAGGATGTCAATGGTGTTCTTCTGAGAAGAATAACTATAGCATGCATACAACCATAAGGAGAAACCAGGGAAGTGGTCCTGCAAGGGAACTTAGCTATTTTACCTTAACTGCAAGAGTAATGATCAGTGGTCAGAGCTGCAAATCACCCAACCAGATGGTACAGACTTGTTTGTGAATGATTGGGACCTTAAAGAGCACTAACAAATAGAAAGATAAAGGTTAATGGCCAATGACAATTGAGCACAAATATTTTTCTGTAAGGTTTCTAGGGTATTTGGTAGACTCTCAAATGAATGAGATAAAGAGTTACTGTCCACTATTGAATCTACTAGCCAATTATGGCTAATGATTTTTAAATTAAATACAATTTATATTTAATCTTCTGGTCACATTTCAAGTGATCCATAGCCACACATGGCTCATGACTACCATTGTAGGCTACACACAACATTCTAGCAATGCAGAAAAGTTTACTATAAAGTATTATAGCGTTTCAATTGAACTATTTGTTCTTGAAGAAAATAGTAGAAGGAAGGAGGAAGGAAGGAAGGAAGGAAGGAAGGAAGGAAGGAAGGAAGGAAGGAAGCTCTTAAACACACCCAAACATTTTTTCTTATAATCTAAGAGAAGCCACAGAGAAATAAAGAGAAGACCAGTTGACATGGATTTGTGTCTTTATAGCGTTTTCTTGGAAAAAAAAAAAAACTCAATTTTCTAGTTGGAAAAAAAATTTAAATATGTTGTCCCATATTTTTTGCAAGATTGTTTTGCAGACTGATTAAATATACAGATTGTAAAGACATTCAAAACCTGACATCAATGTAATCTGTGAAGCACATCTGTAGGGCCAAGACTGAATTGCTCACAAAGGAAGAATAGTTCATTATTCCAAAAAGCAACTAAAGACAATCGAGGCAATACATTCTTGAGGAAATGCCAAAGCACATAACAAAACTGCTTGAATTTCTTTTTGTCTGTGTGTTTTTTTTCCCTTTGTCCATGTTTTTTTTCTTTCCTGACTTTTCTTCTTATTTGCCCACTTGCTGTGTCTCTTCCACTTGCCTGGGTTCTTTCTTATGTGGAGTCACTTGGTACCTTTGTTTTTCTGCTTTTACACTTTTCTCTTCGTAATAAATGGAATCTTAGGATCTGAGCAGAGGCTCGTTTGAAAACAAAGCAAATGATAATGCAAACATTAGTCATCTCATATTTATTTCATTTCTATTACAAACGTAAGGAGCTATGAAGTGAAAACATAAATATGGTAGAGACTTGTTTTTAATGTAAATTCTGCAAATGAAGACTTTATAAAAGGAAGAAAACACTTTAAAGTATGATCACATCCAGATAATATATGGTGTGGGAAGGCATCTCATACATTTTATTGATAAGAAAACCAAGGCTCAAATAAATATAATAAGTCTTTCTGTTGTCAAAAATGGATTTTGAACTTAAAATTCTCAATTGGTCTTTTTGGTTTCAACCGTTATTGCTTTCATTTCTTTGTAAGCAATTAAGACAAACAAACAGATTAAAGACATAATCCATGACAAAATCAACTTTATCTCCTGTAGGGATGATCTCTATATCTTATATAATACTATGAAACATGAAACAACCTTCGTGTATTCTGTTACTATCTTAAGAATGTTGTTATTCTGTTTCAAATTCCATCTCTCATAGGGTCCTTATGTGTCCTCTCTCCACCTTCTTTGCTGTGGTCCTCAGGTTAGCAATGCTATTTATCTTTGTCATTTAAGTGTTCTTATGCCTTTGTTTCATTCCTACTCAATTGTATTTGAAAACTAATACTGTTTATTGAAGAATTTGCATCTCATAGATAATCAGTTTTTACTTGTTCATGAAAACTATTCAGAGACTGTGTCCTGAGATGATCTTATGGGAAATTTTGACATCAGAGGTGTTACCTACAATATACTCATATCATTGTGTTTTTATAAAGCACTTTACATTTTACAGAGTACTTTGATTCATCCTTTTACTTGTTCATACATTGAACCATACAATTAATTTTACTTTGTTAAATACCTGCCGGAAGCTACTCTGCAGATCTTGCAGTATGGAAAAACAAAGTGGTGTGTGTGTGTGTGTGTGTGTGTGTGTGTGTGTGTGTGTGTGTGTGAGAGAGAGAGAGAGAGAGAGAGAGAGAGAGAGAGAGAGAGAGAAAACAGTTCATGTGGATGGAAGATGGCTCAGTGGTTAAAAATACTTGCTGCTCTTTCAAAAGAACAGAGTTTGGTCCACAGTACCCAGAGTGGTGTTAACAGCTATCTGCTACTCAAGGTCTAGAGGAGCAAGAATCCTTTTCTCTTTTCTATGAGATCTCTCTCTCTCTCTCTCTTCCCCCCCCACAGATGATATAAACATTAACAATTCTAAATAAATAGTTTAGGGAAATAAATACAGCATTATAATACAATTAAATCCTCAAACACATCTTTGCAAATAGGAAAAGCATTACTCTATAAACATTTAATTCAGAGAACTATTGTTCTTTTTCATACTAGCTGATAATTTTACAAATATGAAGGAAAAGTCACAAAGGCGTCTGGTCCAAGAAAAGTCTCCTATCCTTTTGAATAATGACTGAGCAGACCCAGAGGGGAAGTCTTCTCTTGCACAGATACTTCTGCTGCTGGTTTTTAAATAGTTTCCTTAACTCAGCACTGTTGACATTTGAGATCTCTAAGTCTCGATTGAAGGTTCAGAAAGTGATTCTCCTTTTTACAAATAGTGCATTTGGCTACCTTCATGAATTTTATTGATTGTTTGGCAGCATACCCATCCTTTCAAACAAAAGATATTTGTAGACATGATTGGTGTTCACAGGATGGAGAAATGGGAGAGGCTGGTCAAAGCATCCCCTGATAAAATTACTGTATTTCCTTGTAAGTAAATTCTGTCAGGATTCAGACCCAGTACAGTAGTAGACACCTATAGTTTAAGTCCATGGGAGAGTGAGACAGGAGAATTGCAAGTCTGTGGTGAAGAGAGAGATGAGAGAGAGAGAGAGAGAGAGAGAGAGAGAGAGAGAGAGAGAGAGAGAGAGATCCAAAACAAATTCTCTTTGTGTGTATTTAATCTTTATCATATGTGGATTTTCATTCACAACAAAGCTTGGAATCACACACTTCAAAGTGCAAAAGTAACAGTTCAATCAGAACCCAACATCACCTTTATCTAGTACTCCATCTCTTCTTCTAACAATTACTAAAAGGAGATGAGAAGATAGACTATCTTAAGAAACTTGACATTTGCCTGTTGAATCATCTGCCACCAGGTTATCAAGCAATGACACCTTATAGCCATATCCCCGGGGCAGCACTCTGTACCCAGTATAGGGCTATGAACCTGAAATCACACAGTTTGAGTATCTCAGAGACTTGGGTCATTTCCTTCATCTGCAAATTGAAGCCTTACATGGAAGTTGAAGCTGCTTGCATCTAATTTTAGGAATGACTGGATGGCCTTTCTATTTTTAATTCCTGGAAGTTTTCTTGTCAGGATCATCAGAATATTCTCTCCTGCCACCTACTCAACTATGTTCTTAAAGCAATAGTGTTGATACTGAGGGTATTGTATTATTCTATGAATCTAAAAATGCTCTGAGAAATTTAAAATTGGGAACCTCGAACTTGAAAAGCTTAAATAGGCCACACCAGTGTGCCTTATTTCAGTTTCTCTGAAGACCAGAAGCTTCCAGTGTATAACTGTCTATACAGTCAGTTTATACTTGGGTTTATTTTGTACCAGTTGGAAAATTTGGTGAAGTTATATGAAGACAGTCCTTTAAATGAATATTTTAGAAACATAATGAGCAAAAGTTCAAATATCTGGTCTCCCTTTACTTTTTGTTGACAACTAATGTAATATGGTAGTGTTCGGAATTATCATGTATTAATTAATATAAGTGATAGAAAATTCAAGGAGAAAAGTTTGTAGACTTTGAATATTGACAAAGACTACGTGGAAACATTCTCACTGGAGAGGAATGGAATCAGAAAACTCTGATCACAGGAATGCACATAGGTGTGTAGAGCTTTGTACTCTCGATGTCCTTTCAGTCTACATGATATGTCTATGACAACAGTGCCCAGTGCCACTAGAATTATAATTGCAAAGAGCCTGATACTTTATAAAGAATTCCTTTAAGAATTTTAGAGAACACAACACATTGGCTTCTCAATATTGTTTATTCTGAAGCAGCAAATACCCAAAGAATGCATGCTAAAGGCTTATTATAACACATTGCCAACACTAAAAGGTCCTGTTGTTTTATAGCCATGATAAAAGGCTAAGCAATGCAAATCACAAGCTGGTATCACCTATCTAATTTCTTTCTTTCTTTCTTTTTTTTTTTTTTGAGACAGGGTTTCTCTGTGGTTTTGGAGCCTGTCCTGGAACTAGCTCTTGTAGACCAGGCTGGCCGTGAACTCCCAGAGATCTGCCTGCCTCTGCCTCCTGAGTGCTGGGATTAAAGGCGTGAGCCACCACCACCCGGTTCTAATTTCTAAGATTTATTAATATTTGATAATCATTCAAAAATGTTCTAATGGGATTAAATGAAAAAATTGAGCTGGCAGATACTGATATATGTACTCATTTTATATTTCAGCTGAAAAATCTCAATGATGCTATCTCTTTCAAGGGAGTTTAGACTTTTAACAGTAGCCTTGCTTCTCCTTAGCATTAAAAAATATGTCTGTCTTAATTAAGGCATGAACCATTTATCATGCAGTTGTAAGCCTTTGGGGCTCCTCAGACATAGCAGGAAGCAGTTTTAGAAGTTTGACACACTGGATGAAGTTAGTACATAATTGTACAGTGTAAACATCAATCCCAGTGAAGTAAATAAAAATCTATTAAAGACCCATGTGTACTATCAGGCAGAGGGGTCAACTCTTCAGAGCAGCATTCAAATAAATATTCAATGAGGAGAAACTGAACTGTAGGTCACTCAGACTCAGAAGCAGAGACTCTGGAAGTGACACCAGGAACTGTGTGGTAAACTCAAAATATAGGCCATGCCCAATTAGTCTAACTCTCAGCCATCGCTCACACATATTTCTTTGATGGTACCAATCCTAGCATCACTGAGTCCCTTGCTCTGAACTTGAATTATTAATGATCAAGCAGCTGCCTTTCCATTTATCTCCTTAGATTTAAAAGACACAAATTTAATGTTCAATTTCTTTTATACCTGTCAACCACACAAAAGCAACAAAAATATCATAAAAGATTTTTTTCTGAGAATGCAATGAGAATAGTTTCATCTATGATCTCCAAGATTTACCTATGAGAAATTTGTTCATCTCAGGAAATGAACCCCAGCACCACTGCCTAGATGTTGTAAAGACAATTATACAAATGTCTACTGGTGAATTGAACAAAGCTATGTTCAGAATGGCATAGCATGGCAGGAAAATCATTTCCAATAGGCTCCTCTGAAAATAATATTAAAAGAAATCAAAGCTTTCATTGTAATGGAATGTTAAAAAATTGTTTTCGAAATGTCAACTAAGCATCTTGAGACACAGACATCCTGTGTATGGTGTAACACAAGTGTTCGGAGCCCTTTCTAAGTACTGACGGAAGATTTCATTGAGCGCTCAAAACAAATCTCACATTTGCCTGAGTTGATGCATCTGGGTAGGGGCCTGGCAAGTACATGATTTTTAAAGGAAAAAGTAGAGACAGCTTTCTTGCATGCCAACTGGGATCCTGGGAACTTCAGATGCCAGGAATGTACTACTGTTTCTGGTCTTGCTGCTTGTGGTCACTTGAAATGTTGAAGGGTGAAAAGAGAAAGACTTGAGGACTGGAGTAGAAGGTGTGCTATCCATATTTCCTGCCAGTTGCACTCTGCAGGGATTACGTGTGATGTGACTCAGAGTGGATGTAATTGGACTGGCTCAAAATCACAAAGCTCCCCATCTGCTGCTGAGAAGAACACACTAACGAAAAATCTGATCCCAGAAACGCAGTCAGCCCAAACAAAGGAAAACTTGTGGCCAAGCAGGGCCCATTGCCAGTATGGGTCATACCTTTCTGAGCGCCTTCTGTGTCTAACTAATGTGTGTCTTTCAGGTGATGGCAAATTTTACAGAGGATTTTCTAAACTTTCCTTTTTATGGGGCTTGAAAAGCAGCATTCCAACTTTCTCCCAGTCTTCCAGGCATCATTGCTGTTTCTTCTGCCCGGTTCATGAATCATTTTGAGCCTGCCTCTGTCATGCTACAAGTTTGTCTATGCTTCTCATTGACGTCACACTGGACATACCTGAACCCACAAATAGAAATACAATTGCATCTAATTTTGTACAGATGGTATGAGAGCAAAATGTGTGTGTACACTAATCAAGTTCTTGTTCAAATTCCACAATTCAGATGATGCATAACACCACAAGCTTCCTGAACATTTTTACTGGAAGACAAATTAATAACTAGTTATTAATGTATTTTCTTACACTCCATTAATTTTCTGTCTTCTACCTGAGAATCCATATGATTGGAATAATTCTTTAGTTTTTCTACACAGTTTCTTATACCGAGTTTTTCTGCCATTCTGGTTCTGCATACACGGTGGAAGGAATTCCTTTTGTAACTAGTATTCCATGATCAATCCAGCATACTGACTGGTACCTGTACACTATAACATGAAGGACTGGAAGCTGACAGTGACCAAATGTTACCTATACTCCTGCTATTGGTTGCTAATTTGAGAATTAAACTGTGTTCTTCTACTTTTAGGTTGGAGTTAACCAATTTTGAACTCTAGAGGGGAAGAAGGGAGCTATTTGTGTGATGCTGCTGTCATGTTTGGCTGCATATTAAAAACAATAAATGAGCATTGTTTTAATTTCTTAAATACTTTCACCCTTGTCATTCAACACATTTCTGTCTCCTCTATTTTGCCTGTTTTGTAAAAGGAGCAGTTTGCAGACAGAGTACAGAGCA